TGATATAGCTCATTCAAATCCCTGAGCAAGAATAAATGAGGGAGGAGAAAACATAGACACGGTCAGATAAAGCAAAAAATGTAATTTTTCAATCAAGCTTTTAATGAAAAGATCATAAAATAACAGTTTCTCATCACTGTACATTAAGACTGCAAATTTCTGAATGCTGAGATCATATTATACTTTCTGTATCTTTTTATATGACACTTGAGTTGAAGCCACAACTACATGTGGCTCTGACCTGAATTCAAGCTCTTGAAGGAAATGAACAGAACACTGCAGCAGGAGTGTCGGCCTTTCCCTTATCCTCCCTTCTTCTCCCCTTCCCCAGGAAACATCCAGGGCACCTAGACTGACTGACAGTTAAGGCTTAAAATAAAAAAAAAAAAATAGAGTGAGAGAGATGGTACATCCCTCTTTTAATTGCATTTAAAATAGTAAAATAAAACAGGAGAAAATATCCAGCCAGCCACGTTAAGGTCCCGTCCTCATTAGGAAAGTTATCTTCAGCCAGTTAGAACGCTTGTGGAAGTTGGAACAGCTGACTTAGGTGCTTCAATTGATAACTTGTGAAGGAGAAGTCTAAAAAACATCCCACCCTTCAGGAAAAGCAAGCACTACAAAGCATGGCCCCTAAGTGCCAGCAAATTTCATTGCATGAAATATTGTTTTAAACCCTCCTTCCACATGGCATCCTGCAGGGTCTGTTCCATTCAATAAACGCTGATCTGCTGATCCCTATGTGTTCAACACTAGGCTTCACAACGCATAGGAAAACTGGAGAAAGGGGGAAAGAAGAGGATGATTACAACAAGAAGAAAGATAAGCTTGCCTGTTTGTCTCCTGCACTAAAATCAGGGCAATAAGGTACAATGGAGCTTACAACAGTGCAAAAAAAAATCAGGAAAGGTACCTGCAGAATTTCTTCTCAAGATTATGGCCAGTTCTTGAGCACAAGAGTAAGCTTATGAAAAAAAACTTTTCAAATACAACAGTATTTGAAGAAACTTTGTTCATGCTGAGAAAATCATTAAATTCAAATAAAAATAAGAAAAAATGCTGGAGTCCACTTAAATCCTCCAGGATCGCAGAAATCAACAAATATCCCCTTTCTTTATACTAATTTTTAAGACTGTTGCAGGTCCGTAACTGTTAACTCTACCAGTACTGGAATGAGAGGCTTGTGAAGTACAGCTTTTCCTAAGGACTCTAGTCACCTTACACGATTGGGAATCTGATGCTTCTGATCTGATGTTTATGAGGCCCATCACAAGATGGCACAGATGCTGTTGAGTTTGGCACAAAGCTTTCTCTAGCTATCTTAGGCGTTGACTCCCTACTTTTGAGAGCCTTATTGCTTCCATGGTAAACAGTAAGTGGAGGATGAGAGGGAGTTTTAAAAAGAAGCTATATTTTGATCTTCAGGCAGGACGTTAGACTCATCTCAGTCACAAGCTGCAACTGGAAGCACGCAACTGTTCCTCTGATGACTTTTACATTCTCCAAATTTTGCCAACATTCACCTCAAAATTTACTTGGTTGCACTGAGTGCACTGGATGTTTCCCCTGGTCGAGACCCATACTCCCACTTTTCAGAACTGAAGCAACAAGGTAAAATACTGCTAACCCAGACTGAACCTGCACTGCTTGAAAACAATGCTTTCTACACACACAACAGAGAGGAAAATAAAAACAAAAACAAAATAGGAATCTTAGAAAGAGTGACACTGTAACTGGAAACATTTAAATACAGCAAAACATAAATTCCTCTTCTATGCAAAGCTACAAAAGTCCAGTCTTTGTATTGTCTTCACAGGTTATGGTTTATGGCTATGCTGAGAGTCTCTGAGATTCTTTTTTTTTTTTTTTTAAATATATTTTTTTTTTCATTTTTTTGAAATCCTGTAGAGTAGATCCTGCAGACACATCTTTGTGTTTGCAACTTTCTGAATTACATTGCAAAACTGTGCATACAGAATCTGAGAAATAAATACATTCATTACTGCACATACATCTTGATACAAAAACAACACTGTCAAATAGTGTTTGCACCATCTTTGTTAGATATTAAGACCAGGCAAAATTAATATTTCATTTTCCATCAGCCCCCCCATCAAATGTTTGAGGTGGCTTTGGTGTAGAAGGTAAAAGCTACAAAGGGTCAAGACTAATGATGGAGAGGTTTTCAAAAAAAAAATCCTTTTTTTTTGTTTTTGGCTTCAGCAATATTTTTGCAAACCATCTTCATTGGTCATCAGTAGACTCTTCTAACATGCAAATCTAGCTTAAGTTTCACCTAGAAAGCCTTATGGTTTTTGGTTGGTCTCTTTGCACGTGACTGCAAGGAATGGAGTGAATCACTCCGGCTGTTTAATTAAAAGGTGGCTTAGATAGTCAGAACAACATAGCTCAGGCCCCAGGGCAGCTCTGGGTAGAAGAAGGGAGCTACGTGCCTGTGCTCGTGCCCTCACCCCAGACCAGTAAAGCTTCCCTGGCCACCATGCATTTCGCAGGGAGATGCTGCCTCTGCGCAGCCCATGCTGACACAGAGCGTGGCACAGAGTTGTGCATACTCCTCCACATCAGCAGCCACAGAGCCTCACAGAAGCTGCGTGTCAATAGCTCTTTGGTGTTTTCTGTGATCTTTGTGGCTCCTGCTAACTTCCCCAAATGCACAGAGCTGGGCTTTCATTTATTTTTGCCAGGAATTTGGTTTTGGAGGTCTTGCAGTAAGGGTTGGAAAACAGCTAAACCTAGCTCAGCCATTGCTAGCCCTAGGGAGATGAGCTGGGTACAGCAGCTCCCTCGTTTCTGACAACACTCTTCTCTGATCCCCAGAACTTCTCCCATCCCTCTACCCTCTCCTGGGGCTTCTCTACCCTCCCACTCAAGCTCCTCTGAGGAAGAAGTTGGCTGCTCCCCACGGCTGCAGGCCGTGGCCTTAGCAGCTGGGCCTGCACAGTATGAAGGCCTGGGCCTTGCCCAGCAGCATCCCTCATGGGCTGGAGATAAAAAGTCCTAAACCTACATGCCGTAGTTCTGACTGCTCTCCCTCTCTACCTTCACTGAGCAGTGTTGGAATGCAGGCTGGCTTGCAGTTCCCCCCTCCCGATTTGGGGAATCTGCAGTAGCCTTCAGAAGAAAAACCAATGGAAAAAGCAAAGATTAATTTTGACTGGCCCCTAGATCTGTTGAGGTCTGAAACTGTAAAAGTTTATGTAAACAATGAGATAAATATATTAGTACTTTTCTGAGCCAAGTGAGGTTCCATACTCATTCAAATGTGCTTTGGTTTAAAAAATAGTTTTGTGAATTTGGGTATGAGCTTCTTTTTTATACAACTTTCACTATTTTATCTTTTTTTTTTCCTGTTACTCCGAAAACATTCTGGAACTAAGTGACTAAAGCATATGCTTAAGCTGCCAGGCCTCTTATTTTTCTTTTTTTTTTTTTTTCTTTTTTCTTTTTTTTTCTCTTTACATGTTTTATTCCTCTTGAGGCTCTCTGTGTATCTTGAAAAAAAAAAAAAAAAGCAACTCCCTCCCCCCACCCTAAAACTCTTAAAATCTTAAATATGAAACTAGTGTTTTGCTTTCTCATTAAAATACAGAAAAATGTTTGATACAATACTATGTCGTACAAATGCAGTTGAGTGTTCAGGCCCCAAGCAGGCCTTAAACAGTCCCTGAAGTTTTGAGTATTATTAGTTATTCATTATTACTGTCACAATTTGGAAAATGTTTATACTCAATCTACGGAACACAACTTTACACAGCTACTTGAAAAAAGAACAAAATTTCCTTTTGTACAATACTCTTGCTGTACACAGACTTTATGTCGTATTGTTTAAGTGCTGGGGGAGAGGGATAAAAGTAAAAAAGCCATTCTGGGGAAAAAAAAAAAAAAAAAGCATTGGGTCCTGAAATTTCAAAATGATTTTCGAAACTTAAGAAAGAAATGAAGAGGGGACCTAGAAGGGGAAGGAGAGGCTACATCACTCACACGCATGCCTGTAAAATGGAATTAAATGTGGGGGAGCAGGTTGGTTGCCCACTTTGGATCTGACCGTGCTTCCCTGAGCTGTGGGTGCTCCGTGCCTTGGCTCAGCAGCCCCAGCTCCAGCTGCGTCCCAGGGCCTCTGCACAGCTGCCCTCCCACTTACCCCATCACCACAATAAACTGTGGGGCTATGAGCAGAGGGGAGAAAATGATGCCCAAAATCTACTGCAGAGGCAGAGCTTACTGCCAGCTGTATGTTTCTCACTAAGAGAGCTAAAGATTATTGTGAAAATCGGGACTTGGTGGGTTCTCAGCCAGCCAGCAGAAAAGGAGGCTCTGCTGTGGCAGCAGCCAGAGCCAGCATGAGACTGAGCTCAGCTTTCAGGCTGCTGGAGGGAAGGTGAAGGCAGCATGAAAGTGCCTTGGAACCAATTTTGCATGGCTGTCCTTACACCCTGCTGGGACTTACTTCGAAAAGAAGGTAGATGGCAAGGCCTTCCCTCTTTTCCCCAAAGATGATTCTGGGGATGTTCTTAGGGAGGGGGTTGGCAGGGAACTGAGGGAAGAAAAAATCAATATAAATTCAAAATGTGGAAGTGCTAAGACACTAAAAACACACCTAGTCCCCCAAAAGAAACAGCGTGCCTCAGCACGATGAGAAATGAAAAGTCCGTGCTCCCCTCATGCCCCAAGTCACAGTGGGGCCGGAGCAGGCAGACAATAGCACGAGCAAACAGCACAGCAGAGCGGGCAGGAGAGGGGCAGCGTGTTCCCTGTAACGTGACACCAGGCCAAGGCGCAGCTTGGTTAGTCTATTGCTTGGAGCCTGGATTCCAGCTTCCTCAGTTCATTCAATTGACCCAAAAACTTCTTTTGGACTAGTCCATCTTAAAAAAAAAAAAAAAAAAAGAAAAAAAAAAGAAATTTATATTTCTTTGTTTTAGACAAACATGCTCACTTTTTTTCTTTTTCTTTCTTTCTTTCATTTTTGGTCAAAACTTAAAAAAAAAAGTTTATTTTTTAAAAAAGATAAAATGTGAGGTTTGGAAAACCCTATGCAGAGACTATACTGGTTTGAGTGGGAAAAAAAAAAGAGAGAGAAAAAATACAAGTGTAAACTTTTCTCAATTCAGAAGGGATGATTCTACTGGCTGTGAATTTTTACCACCACAGTCACGGGAGGCTTGAAATAAGCCATAGCTTTCCACAAGGTCACGCCAACAAAGTCAAGGGGGCCAAGAATTGGTGAGCTGAGTTCTCTGTCTCTTCTCCTAAACCAATAGCAGCTGTTGGCTGTGATGTCTTATGCAGATGTTGCAAGAACATTTTGTTTCTTTTTCTTTTCATTTTTCTTTCTTTTTGTGTGCGTGTGTTAAACTATGTAAAAAGGAGGATATGAAACACTTTGGTTTGCTTTTTCCTCCTCTCCTCCACCTTATTGCACTCTGGATTCTAGTAAATTATAGGCTGCTATGCCCTCACCCTCTGTCCTGCCAGGTGTTTACAGACTGACCCAGATGTGCTGGGGGAGTGGAAGATGAGGGGGGCATTTTCCTCTCCCCATAGTATCCAGATTCAATAAACAAAGCTGGAAAGGGCCCAGAAAGCTCAGAGAAGTTTTCTTCTTTTATCTAAAAGTGACTACAAACAGCCAAGAGACTGCAAGCAAGCCAGGCCGAGCAGCCAGCACAGCTTCTGGCTCAGCATATTTTTTGCTTTGTCTTTGGCCAAGCTTTGCTTTAACATTTCTCTAGCTGACTTTTGATGGAAGGACAGGGTGGTAAAAATCCCTTAATTTAATTTAGCTTCTACTTTTATACTTACAATAAGAAAAAAAAAATGCCTAATCTTTCACTAACCATCTTATTGTTCTCATGAATTCAAGAGGTAGCAAAGGTAACAAGTCTGTACACACAGACTTGTTCTTTAGTGAGGGAGGAAAGCTAAAAACATACACACACACACACACAAAAAAAAAAAATAAAATAAACAATAATAAAAAAGTACCTAAGGAACTTGTAGCAAGTCCAGCCTACATCAAACCCCCTCCCTACCCACCCACCATAGAATTAACCTCAGACCTTCCAGTTCAAACATTCACATAAACGTTACAATGGTTTTTCCTTTAATAAAAGTACCTCTAAGCAAAGAATATTCATACGAAACTACTAGAAAAGTAAAGACGACCCCCTGCTCACTGAAAAATTCTCAGGGCATCCAGTCCCTGTTCAGTCATGGGTAAGGCTGAAGAGGTTTGCATGTTTTGTGGGAAAAGGTGGTGTGTGATTACTCATGCCAAGGATAAAGATTAAAACCAAATGAGCGAGGGATGGCAAGGAAAGCATCACCAGCTCTTTAAGCAAAGCACCCTGGCACTGCATGCCCAGGTGGAAGGCTGTCCCCACCATGGCCAGCCCAGCAGGGTGGGTGGTGAGTTCCACCACTGCTTTGGCTTTACCACAGCATCCAGAAGGGCTGCCAACCCTGCAAGATGGTCCACAGACACAGCTTCCGTGTTTGTGAGGGCAGTGCAATGTTTTTTCACAGATGTATGCTATTTCCTTTTGAACGGCAAGAAATACCCTACTGAGTTTGATTTTAAGTGAGGACATGACTAGGGCCACAGCATCGCATAGGAAAGAGGCAGGGAGGCTGGATCCAGCAGAGACAAAAGTTCCCTGCGGTCCTCCTTCTTGCTTCAGATTACCAAAATGACAGTGAAGTCAGTGCACATGGAAAGAAGTGACATTTCATGCTAGATCACCAAGATTTTGAGGGAGAGTTGGACTAAATGCATCAGCTTGGCTGTGGACCTTTTTTTTTTTAAAAAAAAAACAACTTTTTTAAAAAATGTTAAAGCTACATTTGTTTCGGCCTCCCATGACTGAACAGAGTGTGGGGAGTTGCCCCCTTTTTTGTTTGTTTGTTTGTTTGTTTTTGTTTTTTTTTAAGCAGCAAGTCTTACAGAAAGGTAAATCACTGCGGATGGGCTCGAAGCTCATTCTGGAGTCTTTGGCTTATGTGGGAGAGGTATGCATTCGCAGGTGGCTGATCAGATTGCGCTGCTGGGTGAACTTCCCACCACACAGTTGACATTCGTAGGGTTTTTCTCCTGAGTGGACACGCATATGCTCTGTCAGTCGGTACTGCCGGGTAAAGCGCATCCCGCATTCCTCACAAGCAAAGGGCTTGAGCCCCAGGTGGCTGCGCATGTGCCGTGTCATGGTGCCCCGCTGTGTGAACATCTTGCCGCAGATGTTGCAAGGGAAAGGCCGCGTCAGCCAGTGAGTCTTCTCATGCTGTCGCAGTGTCGCTGGATCCTTGTAGCTCTTCTCACACACCGAGCACTTGAAGGGCCGGGACTCTGCAGAGTAGGACTGGTTGGGGTTGGACAAATCTTCAGCTTCATCCTTGCCACCATATGTGCCTTCCTCCTTGATGTAAAGGTCTTCCTCGGTGTGTGTCTCCACGTGGGCATTCAGCTGCTCAGAGCTGGGGAAGCCTTTGCCACAGGGAATGCAGACATACAGGTTGTCACCATACGCCACTGGCTCAAACCCCTCCTGTCGGTAGACGTAGTTGGCACTGGTATGCCCACCACTCTCGCTCTCACTCTGGCCACTATCATCACTGTTCTCCTTACCATTTTCTACCTCCTCCTTACACGAGTAGGGCAGGTCTGCGCCATAAGCCCCAGCCAGGCTCCGCTCCACAGACTTGGACAAGGGCCCCAGCAAGATCCCATTGGGCAGCCCTTCACCTTCATCCCTGTCTTTGCCTCCATCCTTTCGGTCAAAGGCATTATCTTTCTTGATCCACTCCTTCTTACGGGACGAATGCCGGAGGCCCTTGCGCTGGCTGCTCTCTGTCAGCGAGTGGTGGCACTCTTCGCTCAGATCCATCTCCATGGGGTCACTGCTGTCCGCTATGCTGTGAGGGGCTCCAACTCCAGACTCGTCAAACGATGAGGCACTGTTGGCTGCAGGGGCTGAGGCAGATTGAGGAGAGCCATGCTGGCTTTCGCTGTGCTGCGTGTCATCGTGAGAGGCTGCAACAGGGAGTGATGGACTTTTTTTGGACAAATCGAGGCCTAGCTCCTGGTCACCAGTGCTCCCATTTGCACTACCACCCCCACCACAATTCTTACTGGCTCCCCTGCTTAAGGAGTGACAATTCTCTTGATTGGAGCTGCTGATAAAGACCTCATCATCAGAGAGCTTTCCCTTTGACAGCTCCTTTGTATGCGAGCCCTTCAACCCCTCATTTGACCCTGAATAGCGAGCTTGAATGACAGAAGCAGCGGAAAGTCTCTGACTCCTGGCAGATCTCCCAACACCAAGGCCACTGGCCTTGCCAGAGAAGGACTTGCTGTTCCGCTTTAGCTTCTTTCTGCAGAGAGCTGCCAGGTCGTGCAGTTGGAGGTAGCTTGCTGCGGTGAGGAGAGCACTGAAGTTCTGTTCACCGGGCTGGTCAGTCGTTAAGAGCTTACCAGTATAAATAAAGTCCAAGATCTGACGGAACACGGTGGGGTTCACCATGTCCGTGTCTAAGTTAATCAGGTTGTCATGCAGGACAAGGGATTTGAAATACATGCTGCTGGCTGCCAGGATGTTCTTATGGGCACGAAACAGGGCATTTTCTACCACAATGATCACATCACAGAGGAAACCTTTGGCTCGTTGCTGGTTCAGCTGCAGTAGCAGTTGTTTGGCATGATTTGGCAGTTCCATCTCCACCTTCTCTTCCTTTCACCTTCACTTTACCACCTGCAAAACAGGATGATGGGAAGTGTGAACCTGTTGTTTCCACTCAAACAAGTCTACATTTAATAGACTGGCTTAACAGTGTGCAGTCTTTGTTCAACTTGACACTGACTAAGGAGCTCTGGGTATGATCCAGCCTTGCAAGCTGTGATCCGTCCTGGATTACGGAGAGAAGTATTACTCACACTAAGATTTCAAGTCTCAAAAATCAGATTTTTACAAAATAAATCATCATTGGCTGGAATTGCTATTCAAAAGACACTAGTGAGAAAACAAGTTAGGTATAGGGGAAAGCTTTTTGCCTTTCCTAACACAAATCTGAAGGGGGAATAAGGAGAAAGATAAAAAGGAAAGGAAAAAAAGCATCTATCTCTCTGCCATTTGTATATCTGAGCACGTAAAATAACTAGCATAAGCTTCAGCTTCCCTGCTTTAATGTGTAGTTTGTTTCTTGGCTTTAATATGTTGAAGTCTTACAACATATTAAATCCCAGCAGCTCTGGGGTTGAGAAAATGACATATAGCAACTAAATCCAGTGGAGATGGAATTAATCACACAGAGGTGTCAATGGGAAATCTCCTTACGAAAGGCTATTTTAAAAATCACCCCCCAGGCAATGTCCATATCCTAATCCACTAACATTAAGTGTTACAATCCTGGACTGCCTGAAATTCAGGATGCTGAGCTAGCTAAATGCCACCAAGTATATTTAACAATCTGAAACTGTTTTCTCAAGTTAATTCCTCCCTTAGTTTTGAAAGACTTTTGTCTAAACAAATAGAATTCAAGTAACCTATCTCAGATTGCAGTCTCTCAACCCTGAAATACTGGTAAGAGAGTAAGATTGTGGTTACCTCTGTGTAGTTCATGTATTTCAGTAATGGTATGTACAGTGTAATTTATTTTAGATATTTATATTGATGGCCCTTATTAAACAGCTGGTTTGAGAAAGATCCAAACTAACTGCCACCTGCAAATTTGGTAGATATGAGAACATATAGAAATTAGAATTTAAAATTAGGGCTGCATTCAGAAATCCAAGATTAATTTTGTTTCTTTCGTTGTTGTTGTTGATATTTTTGTTTGAAAGTGTCAGCTACTACTTGTAATAGGCATTTATCTGTTAATTTAAAATTCATTTAAAGTAATTTCTGAGCTTAAACATAAAACAGCTACCTTCAGCTTTCCCCTTCTCCCTTTCTTTCCCAGTTCATCTTATTATTGAAATAGATTTCTCCTTTTGAAGGAGGGGCAGGCCCTACATCCATAGAAATGAAGATTGTTCTCTTAAAATCATCTTGACTTAATGCTTTTATTGCTTGTGTGTTCCATTCTTTCACATCAGATTTCAAATGATAAAGCATTAGGCTGATCTAGGCTTATCTACTCTCTGGGTCAAGTATGTGTACTCAAGAAAAAGAAATAATGAGTGATACCTCCATAGTTTAAAAAAAAAAAAAAAAAAAGCCTCTTTCATACCTTACTTATATACTTACTGGTGATGAATAAAAAGTTTTCATTTTGCAGAAAGGTGTTAAATTTACATCATCTGTTTCTGTACAAAGCAAAAGGATTTTCCTTTATGAAAGAAGCAACCAGAAAGTAAATTATTTCTCTTCCCAAACCGCTGACTTGCTAGAATGGCACTTCTGCAGTTACCAAACAATCTGCCAAGCAAGTGCCTCCCTTCTTCCACAGGACATATTTTTTCAGTTGACCAGCCTGCAATTTGCCTTTGCATTTGGTAGAATTTTGTGGCCCCTGTTCTGTGCACACAGATCACAGTGGCTTTTCACCTTGATCCACAGCTAAAGTGGCTGTTCTACTTTTCTGTTCCATTCCTATCCATTTCACAATGGATGGGATCCACAATAAATGGTGGATTCACTGCTCATTAATACTGCTTCCCAAGATGGCCGGCTTTAAAAAGGGTCCCAGCCAAAGAAGGAAATACAGGCTTGCCATGGTTTTAGACAATTATTTCTTCTCTCTCTATAGTGTTTCTGTCATAGAAATTCATTCTGCTGCTTCTTGAAAACATAAAAGGATTACCACCAGTGAACAATGTTTAGCACTTTAAAAACAAGTTTTGCTGGATATGATTACAGCAGAGCAACAGTGCACAGGCAGTGCATCTGGCTGTAGTAGCTTGCTTCCAGAACTGCCAATTAAAAGGAAGAAGCAACAAGAGAGGCACCAAATGCCCACTTTTATCTGACCAGACCTGTAAAAGCACTTACTTCTGGGTCACCAAGATATATTCATAGGGAAGGACAAAAACTTGGCTTGCAACATAACACTCTGTCTCTAGATATGAATGCATCCTGCTTAGCAGTAGCAAGAGACCACCTATTACTGCACTGCAACTATAACAGTGCTTCTCCTTGCATATAATATGCAAAATCCTTCAATATAATTTTTAAGTGTTCTATAAAGAAAAATGCAGGAAGAGAAAGGAAAGATCATAGCCAGCATTTTTTTTCCTGAACAGACTAATAAAAAAAATATGTGTTCCTGAACTAGAAGTGAGCTTGTTTCCCATTCTTATGGCACTTGAATCAGAGGTCTAGAAATTTCTGCAGACATGTTTGTCTAAGCCTTTGCAAAAAGTGAAGGCTTGTTGCAGCTACAAATGGGAACCCTTCTGCCTTAAATGATCTTGAAATGAGGTAATGAGGTAATGAGCCTGCAGGGAAAGCCCTCAAAGCAGACCCAGAATTATATTTTGCTTTTTACTGAACTCTATGAGGAAGATAATGTTATTATTAAAACATAGTATGTTCTGCAGCAGAAAAATTACCATAGTACACGTTGTTTAAATTACCTATATTTATCTCAAATGTCAAATTTTACAAAAGTAAAATTTCAGGACAGAAGTATGAGATAGGTTGTTACCCATAGTAGATTTTAAATGCAGCGGTCAAGTTTAAGCAGTACAACACTATCTGTCGAATTTGAATTTGTTAACTGAAGTCTAACATGGATTTAGCAACACCAACAAGATGAATGTAATAGAACAGGGCAGGCAAAACCTTCAGCCAGGTTTAGATCTCCATATATAAAAGTTTGTCAGGAATTGCCCACTGAGGGTTTTTACCAGGACAGCAACATGGGTCAGAGAACACACCTTTGACTGACACACCTTTGTTGGCATACCTGGCTTATGTATCTTGTACAGTCCTGGCACAAATAAATTCATTCCAGATGTTTTCCAGAGTTGACCAATTATAAACCCTTCTTTAGCAGCGATGCATTTTGTGAGTAGGGGAGTGCTGGAAATCTTGTTAGCAAAAGGAGAAGCATGCATTATTCCTTGACCTCTGGCATTCCTAAGTTCTCACTTCTAGTGGAAAGCGTGGGATCAAAGATAACTACAAGGTTAAGTCCTGTATAAAACTGAGCAGATCTTCCCAAACAAATGGCAGGTGCAGCCTTACAAAAGTCTTCCTATCCAGTTTGCAGAGAATGGTTCTTAACAAACCTTGAAGATGTGCACAACATTACCACCAGTATTAACAATAAAAGCCCCCAAAAGACCTGGAAAAATCACAGTGGTTTATATTTTGTGTATTTCAGTATAATTTTTAAGAACCCTTCCTTTTCTGTTTTCTGCAAGAAGATTTAAAAAAAACCCAACAAACAACAACACAAATTCCCCATTCAGAGGGAGTTCTCTGATAAAACAAAAAATAACAACAACAAAACCAAGAATATATAAATATCTCACTGAGGGTCACAGTCTTTCAGTATTGAATTTGGTGTGCAAAATTTCACTCCTTTGCATTTAAACAGGATCACAGAAGACTTTGATCAAATAGCATTAAAGGTGGTTTTTCAAATTTAGGTTGCTTCCCAGTCATTCAAGACACAGTTTTCAAAGCAGAACTTGCTTAAGTATTCTTGTGCAAGTAAGGAAGAAAGCAAAACTGAGGCTCTCCACTACTCCACCATATCCATGTCACTGCGACACAGCACATGCAAAGATATGGAAAATACAGAGCACAAATCACAGATTACAGCAATGCTGCAAGCAAATGCCACACATTGAACAAAGCTACGCGAGCTAAAAGCATTTTCACAAGCAATAATGCCCAAGGAGCTGGGTAACTGTGAGCTGCTGCGCCCAGGTTTGAGCATGCATCGAGTCATCGAGTGTGCGTGGAGGGCATGCAGAACACACCAACAGCTCCAGGAGCTTTGCTGCTCTCACTACAAAGCAGGAAAAATGTAATTTGCTCTCAATTTCTGTAAAGACTTTGGAAATCGCTGAAAATTAGGTTGCCAAAGTACAGGAGAAGAGGAATCCCTTCACTACCTGTAAATAGTATAAAATCTACTATTCATTACAGATTTGAGTCTCTTTAATATTCCTAAATCTTTTCCTAAAAGTAATTCCTGAATAAATGCTGTGTTATCTTAGCAGCCTCTAGTAGGAGATGCTATTTGATTTCACCTGCGTTATAGATTTTAGCATCTGAATACTGTTCACCTTTTAAGAAGAAACAACAGTGAAGCAAAGAATCAATCAAGAACAGATTTAAGGAATCACTCATTTTGTGGAGAGAATTTGTGGATGAATGAGAAGGCTATATACCGAGCACCTGAACAGTGAACTAACAGTACTGCAGATAAAAATCAGCAAACAATTAGATGTGATGTATCAAATTAGATGCCAGTAAAGCACTAGCCTAGCATGCATGTTATATCTAGGAAAAAATAGGGTCCTGCTTACTTATGACCTTCCTTGCTAAGCAGTTCTGCTGTACCAAGTAGACATGCAGTAGTGAGGATGGGAAAGAACAAGACAAACAAAACCAATTGCTTTCTTTATTGCTTTTTCCCACCAAGATCCCACCAACACTAAAAATGCTGTGTCCAGCTACTATCGTATCTAGGTGAAACTGAAACACGGATTCTTCACCCTTCAGTTTCAGAGGAACTAACTTTTTTAGAGAACTGGAAAATCCTAACGGGAAGGGCTTTCCTACTGTTCGCTGGCTCATCTGATCTTTCTTTCCCTACACCCCTAGAGAATTTAATTCCATTATTTTCCCAAGGTATTGGTGAGGTGGTCTCTCAGGGCTGCTAACCTTCCCCCCAGGAGCTGCAGTTGGCAGGTCATTAGCCCATACCTTGTGAATGTATTCACATTCCAGAGCAGCAGAGGCAGACAGAGGAATGCATGAACTGTGTTAGCTCAAACCGTTCTCTATCCCCTGTGAGAAGGCAGACAGCAGAACACTGAAGCAGAGGCAAGAACATGCACTTTTTCATCATTGGCAGTAGAGCAGCAAAAGCTCTTTGAGATGGTCTCAAGCAGAAAACTGGATGCAACACCGTTGTTTTTCACACTAGAGTATCTCACACTTCAAAGTAGGACCAACATGTCAAGTTACAGGGGAGAGGTCTGCAGAACTGGGGAAGGAAGAGAAAGCAACATGCAGGAGAAAGCAGGATGCGCAGCGGCTGTTGCAAGCGTAGACATGGAGAGGAGGAGAATAGAGGATTATTTCACAGATAATACCATATCAGCAAACATAAAGTGGTCCTTATCTTGTTTGTTACATTCCATTTAGTGCCAGATAGAACTGCCATCCTGTCTCCCTCAAGCAATTTGCAAGACACCCGCAGAAATGGTATAGCTTGGCTTATGGTCACAAGCACCTCTTTAGTACCTTTGTGCTGCAATGTTTGGACATTTTGTACGTGGGCAATACATGCTCAACTGCTACCAGCTTCTGACCCAAAAAGGAGAGAAGACAGAGTTAGATGATGTCCCTAGTCCCTTCCTTTTCCTGTCCTAGAATAACAAGCAGAGCCTGACATGGCTAGTTCCTTCCCCGCTGCATGGCAGACTGTATAGGCAACGGAGATGTCCATGGGTGAAGAGGATAGAAGCCCTGTGTGCATGAAAGCACTAACATCAGGAGAGCAAAGTGATTTCCAGTCATTGCAAGGCTATAGCAAAGCAGGAACACCTTGCTATAAAAGCCAAGACTAGGAGCAGTAGAATGCAGATTAACCACTTGGTTGCCGCTTACCATGCCAGGTACATTGGGCTAAAGGCACCTCCATCCAGTGCTGCCCGACGTGCCAGGTACATCCCATGATGTTCCATTGAAATCACAACAGGCCATCAATAGAACGTGGCTGCACGGATGCAGAATGGAGAACCAGGCGCTGTTAAATGCAATTAAAAAACGGCAATCAAAATTGTACATTTTAAAATGGCCATCTGCCTTAAAAATGTAACTACTAAAACAACCTCCCCTCCACCCATCTCCCCCGAGCTGATCTGTGACAGAAAGAGCGGAAGGCCCTTCTGCAATTTTCCTGATGACTTGCTCTGTCCAGCTCCATTCAGGATTCCAAGGGCACTGAGCTTCAGGGATACCAGGGAACACATATCCAAGAACAGCAGATCCCAGGCTATCTGCACCAGCTTCCCCACTGCCCAGAAATACAGGCAGGTAATATCACCATTAGAAATACTTCTGTAATAGAAAAAAAATAAATAAAATGCTGCCAGAGCTTCATAGTCTTGTTACCCATACAGGCAATGGAAGTAGTACTTAAATGCTGATCCTTCATGTTGTTCCCTTTTCCCTGTTCCCCTTCCCAAGCTCTTGAAATCCTTCTCTCATAACATCTCTGATGTTATGGCATGGATCCAGGCTGAGTCCTTTGGCTTTTGTTACATCTGTGGAGCAAGGAGGGAGGAAGGAAAAGAGAATATTGAACCCTCCCGTTTATAATGATGCTTCACTAATAACTTTATTATCCATTCTTGGAGACTGGAAATGAGATTGATTCATCATGAACTGCAGCTCATAAGAGAGTCATGAAACTTAAAACGTATAATTCCACCCTTCCCTGCCCAAAAGAAGAACAACATCCGTCTCATGCCAAAAAAAGCACATCCCACTGATGCACTCAGCTTGTTAAACCTAGAGTATCCTCTGCAGTGCATATTGTCCTCTTCCAAGAGTCTCAGCAGTCAGCTCTGACAGGGTTATCAAGGAGGACATTCTCAGGAAAGATGCTAAGCACAGGCCTCTCTTTACAATTGTTGCTACTCTAAGCAGGTAAAAAACCCAAACCACCAGAAATAAACTTGCAGCTTCACAGGGATTTAAGACAGGACTTCTGACCCTTTTGCATAGCTCATATCACATTGATGGCTGCATGTCTCCATCTGCGCTACTGCAGATAGAAAACTTACATTTAAAAAGTTAGAAGAATATTGATTACCATTTCAACCTTAAAAGATAAAAGGCTGAATGGAAAAGACTGACAGTAATGAATCTTATCTGTATTAGAGTGAATGGAAGGGACAGCAGTGGCTTGGCAAATAGAAAGCGTTTTCATGAAAAGGGCACCGAATGAGGAGGTCTTCATTCTTCTTGGGCATCTGCTGGGCTCAGGCACATCCCATCGTTCCTATCTGCATACTTATCCTCACAGTTCTGTTACTTAATCCCTTCCATAATGAGTAGGGCTTTCGTACTCAGATTGTCCTGTTTTGACTGCTCTGTACTGTAGAATTTTAAATCTTGTCGATACAGTGAAGAAGTGAAATGTGTTTGCTTCCTGACCTGGGCTATACTGAGCCAAGAGCATTTGCTGAACCACAGATCAGAGCTCCTGCTTTCCAAGAGCTCACACCTTGCATAAAAGCAACACATTACCGGCTGCACTTGCAGCATCAGGGCTCTGCAAAACACTTAGCAATACTGGCAGTACTCAGTTTAAGAAAGACTGAATGCTGCATGAAGGTATTTATTTGACTGGTTTCGAGACAGTAGCTCTAGTGCAGATTTACACCCAGATTACAGTAATTCTTGCTACTGTGAAGCAAGAAACTTCTCTATGGTTGTGTTTTCCCTCTAGGGCAGAGATTAGCAGAGAAGGCTTAACACAGAGGTGTTTTCTGCTGCTAGAGCAACAGGCTGCAGTCAGAAACGAAACTTCCTGTAATTCCTAAACAGAGCTTTTGTATATTATACGTTTATTTTCACCATTGACACGAAGACTACCGAAACGTTTACATGGGAGGAGAAAGGAAAAGCATAGACATCAGAGATCTTGTCAGGCAGAGTCAGGCACTACAATTTCTGGCAAATCTGCAGAGTACAGTTGATATTAGCATAGTAGTGGCACAAAACACTTAAAGGCTCAGAAGCAGTAGATGTTGGTGCTCCTGCAGCCCTGCAACAACTGACAAGGCTCAGCCCTGGCTTGATACTGTGTTACAAGTGAGACAGGTGTACCTGATGCTGATCTAATAACTCCCCATTCCAATAAAATAGCCACATATTCAGTAAAGTAGCTCAGTCCACCTAAGAGGAATAGTATCTGTACCCACTCAGCAGGTACAGGCCCTGTGGTCTGCAGAATTCCTGTTTCCCACCTACCTTTTAGCATTGGTGCATAGAATTCTCCCTTCACAATGCAAGAATTTAGGATGTGACTAAAGGACTGTTGCTGCCTCCCAGCTAATTCTAGAGAGTTTTAGGCAGAATCTACCCCCCAGTGAATTACTGGAAATGGAATGAGAAGATGCTCAAGGTCCTAAACCCTGGGATCTGTTCCTCAGTGTGATAGGCCAGGGTTTGCAGGTGGTGCTTGGGGTAGTAGCTTTGTGCTGGACATTGCTTTGGGAGAAAGAACACACTGTGTTGGAGAAGGAATGTCATGACCCTTTTCTAACCGAGACTGTCTTACAACAACCTTCCAGTTGCAGCACAGCTTTAGGGCTCTGAGTCACCACGGGTACAAGCTGATAGCTGGGTTGTGAAATGCAGCAATTCTGGAACAAGTGCACAGTTCTTTCAACTGTTCCTGTGACTGGAGAGGGATCTCCAGGACAGGGATGAGATAGATAACTAGGAGTGCTAAATCCACCAGCTATTGTGACTCAGACCCATCAACAGGGTTTGTTAGAGCAAACAAGGCCTCACAGCATTGGAAGAAATGGGAGAGTCTGATAAAGATCCTCCCAATTGGCCTGCTTATTTTTATTTCTTCTGTGGACTCAGCAATTTTTTCTGCAATTAGAAGCAGTCTGTGCAGGAGCATCTGCATACTGCTAATGTTGGGAACTTGTTGCAGTAGATTACACTAAGCTCCAGGCCAAGGGGGGCAGGGAGGACATGGGCAGTAAAAGTCTTGGACCAAAATGTTATCTCTCTTGCCATATGCCAGATGCCAGTGAAACAAACTTTGCCATCTCATTTTCTCTACAAGACCAAGTTTCATTCACTTATTTCATCTGTGCCTGTGGATGCAGCAGCAGTTCTCCTTAACACAAATAATCAATGCCTTAAATATGGCACCTTTTGCACTTTATCCACCTTTTATTTCTCTCTCTCTCTCTTTTTTTTTTTTTTTTTTTTTGTCCCAAGAACTGATTATGTGCTCCAGCCTCTACTTCCAGATAAATATTTGCCCCTAAGCACTAACCTGCCCTCAGATTCTTCCTGTGTGCTTCACTCCTGTGAAGTTTTTCAAACAGATTAGTTTAAGAATTGGCCCTGGCAGTGTCAAGACCCTACCCAGCACCCTTCCAAATTGGATGTCTAACTTACCATCCTGAACCTCATACATGGGGTGCTTTGTGACCACATTGTGTTTCTGCCGCTCTGAACCTGCCGAATGAGAGGATGCCAGAAAGCCACTGTTGCTTGTGAAAGCAGAAGACCTTACAGGCCCAAGGTCTTGCAAACTATCTGCTTTGCAGCCAAATCCATCCAGATGAAGATATCCTAAGGGGAAAGTAGGGCTTGTGGTGAGATACTTGAATGCTTTGTGTAATTTTACCATGTTCAGAGTTTTTCATGTTTCCTTGTTTCCTCTTTAGATGTGAGTGGTGCCTCAAATTCTCATTTCGTCTGTCATTCCTCTTTCATCTTCACTTGAGACTACAGACTTTTTTTAAACTCCACTTACTAGCTGCAAGGAGGTCACTCTACTATGCTTCCAAAGTCCTCTTCTTCTCAGAAAGGCTCCCATGCACAACAGTGGTCCAGGGCAACAGAGATCTCAGGCACATTTGGCCAACCTTCTCTGTCAGAGTGTTTATCAGCTTCAGTGATTACAACTCCAGGCAGTTACAAAAAGTGGCCCAGCATTATGGGATGTTGAAAACTTTGAAACAATGCAAAGTATCTTTCCTTCTCTATGCAGTATTCTTGTCAGTGTCAAGGATTTTCTGGCAGTTCTCAAGACACACGAATTGTAGGTTCTTGTCATAAATCAAGACTCAAGACATGTCTCCATTTAAAAAAAAAAAAGTGAAAGAGAAGGGGCAAATCAGAGAAAAAGGTAATTCTGGCCAAGGATTTGGTTTTGAAAAGGAGATTGGCAGCTTGTGCGTGTACTTTTATCATGAAATCTGGAAGCTCCTCAGAACAGGACCCCCTGAGCACATCATACTGAACCATACACACACCTCACAGCAAAAGAACCAGCAGCTCTCTCATCAATTCCAGACTGCTCAGCTTCTAACTCAACACTGCCAGAAGGCAAGACTATAACAAATTAACACCATTCACAATTCATTGAAGTTGCTGTTCCATTGTTTATTTAAAACATGCGAACACACACTCACAAGTTGACTCTCTGCTGCCATCATCCAAACTCAAGATTTGTAGTCACAGAGAGACAGAGAGACGAGCAAAGGCAGTGGATGAAATTCATACAGAGCAGCAGTCACTGCACTGGAACTCTGCTTGGGTGTTGCTCTTTCACTGCAAGCAAAGCAAAAGAATGCCCACGTTGTTCCAGCCTTGAAGACAAAGGTGTAAAAATCCTTATTTCAGCAACTTGACTAGAAAAGTTACAAAAAAGAAAGAGCCCCAGGTTTGAAAGGACTCGAGCACAAATATGGGTTGGTTGGAGAATGGCTTGAGAGTAACCTTGGGAAACATTTAGGAGTATCAACTGATTAAAGACTCAACATGAGCTGGCAGCGTGCGCTTGCAGCTCAGAAGGCCAGCCATATCCTGGGTTGCATCAACGGATGTGTGACCAGCTGGTTGAGGGAGGTGATTCTGTGCCTCTGCTCTGAGACCCCACCTGGAGTACTGCATCCTGTTCTGGGGACCCCAACACAAGAAGAACATGGAGCTGCTGGAGCAGGTCCAGAGGAAGGTCACAAAAGTGATGAGAGGGCTGGAGCA